AGGTATTCTTTTGAACATGATAACTCAGAAAATTTATTACTCATAATCCAATGAACTACAAATAAATCAACCCACAGTCTTGAATAAGTGCATGGGGGAAAAGGGTAGACGTGGCACATCGCCTAGTGGGCCACTATCTAACGAGGTTGACTATCAGAGGTAACTGTTAACATGATAGTTGTTGTAGACCTACCATTTTACTAAAGAGGATTGGCTTCAATAGCCGTAGTATCTTCTCCTTCTGACTGAGAAGATTGGGCTTGGTCCGATTGCTCAGGTTGATCCTGCTTATTTTGTTCTTCAGCTTTGATCCTGATAATAATCTTTTGAACCTGTTCGCCTTGAGAGATTAGTTGTCTCCAGGAACGATATTCTACAACCCCTATTCGGGCTAGGAGGTCGGTTTGCAAATTGTGTCGATAGGTCTCCACTAGGGTAGACTGTGTCATACCTGTCGGACATCGCAGAACCATGTTTCGAAACCTTTTGACGAAGGCTTTGACAGACTCCCTCTTCTTCTGCTTAGTGGCGAGAAGGGTATGAATGGAGACTTCTGTATCATCTTCAAAGAATCTTGATATGAAGAGTCTCTCTAGATCCGTCCACTTTTGGATACATCCCGCAGGCAGTTTCCTGAACCATTCAAAGGCAACTCCCTTGAGGGTGCCAATGAACAATCGAACCAGTATGGCATCGTTTGATATCACATTCCCAGTCTGTGACTTGAAATGATAGATATGTTGGTTCGGTGATCCCGTGCCGTTAAAAGTTTGTAACGTCGGGAGCTCAAACTTTGGAGGATAAGGGGCTGCATCCCATTCGGCATGATAGGACCTGTAAACTCCCTCGTCTTGGAGCTCGCTTCTGTTAGCAATGGCATTTAGACGGGCTTCCAATTCTTCCATTTTGACAGACTGGAGATTCTGCTCATTCTCCGTCTCTCTTCCTTCATCAGAGGAAGATTCCAGGTTATGGGCTTCTTGGTCAGAAGCCGTGTCATCAACCATTTTTCCCTTTCCTTTGCTTGTGTAAAGTCGGGATGAAGACACTTTTTCTCTCCGGGAAGATTCTTGCCTAGGTGGCGAATCTGTCTTCTGAGATTTGGCCTTGTCTGCGACGAGTTAAGTCAACAGGGCCATGAGTTCATTAATGGCCTCCTGCTGAGATTTGAGCATGACCTCCTGCTCATCAAGTCTCTTCGCGAGATCTTCATGGTTTCCCGTCATATAAGCGGAGCTCTCATGTTCAACAAAAGAGTTTGATGATTGGGACTCTACAATGGCTGAGTGTTCATCATCGGAATTGGTTCTTCTGGCTAGTCTTCGATAGTTGACAAGGAGAATGGCTCCTGTTCGCGTCCGAGTGCGTTGGTAGACTCCTTCAAACTCGTTAGTGATTTCTCTGACGGTCGGTGAACGACTTGTCTCAGAGTCATCGGAACTAGGACCTGAGGCTTTCCCTCTGCTGATCACATTGATAGTGACCCCAGGATATTCGGTCTCTGGAGACTTCTTCCTGTGAGAACGTCGTCGTTGGTTAGGCAAAGCAACGTTCGTAAATTGGTCGAACACCAACAGTTTGGTCGCATATGAGCAGCATTGACATCCCGAGAGGACCGTAGGAATCAGTCGTTCGCATTGGAATGAACGAATGACTTGTTGCATCGGTCTTTCTCTCGATATGAACTTTCTCAAATCTATTGTGAAGATTCAAGGAGAACTACTCACTGATCGTGAGGTTTGAATTGGAACGCCCAGTCCAAGATTGGACAGGACTGGCTCTTGGTGAACATGGATCTGGTTGAGATGCCTTGAATCCATAAACTTCTTATATCCGCCCCTTAATCTAGTCACGCTACGCAGAGTATTCGGGGGTCTCGCTGCCCGGTCAGCGAGCCGGGGGTCCAGGGGGCGGCGCGCCCCTGGTCGGGGGGTCCGGGGGGTGGACTACCCCCCGGCGGGGTTCGGGGCAGCGCCCCAAAGCTCCACGGTATACACCAGGTTCTGTATTGAATTTCATCACCCGAACGCATGCCTGAGCTCCAGGTGTTGCTGGTGAAACGCAGTCCTGAGGGCTGCGTTTAGCTTGGCTTATGCAGAGCTCATGTTGAGGCTCAAAAATGTGTAGGAGGATCGGCTTTTTTGGAGTTGTACCGAAGCTAAGTCCTCTCCTTCAGAGAGAGGGCTGTATGAATAGTGCAACCACCAAGGGAGACAGTCCTTCAACGAGTCGGTCACAATTGGAGCTTTAGTCTCCTTGAAGACTTTGCGGATCTTACACATAGCCTTGAGGCTAAAGGATCCGGAGGAGAGGGCCTCCTCAAACTTGGCTTGATTGAACTCGATGATCAGAGTTTCAACGGTCATTCCAGTGAGCATGACATCGGATTGCGCCACCACCTCTTCGTTAGAGAAGCTAGTCCCCAGCGGAGTCGCCATCTTTTGTTTGTGGAAAAATTTACAGTAAAAGAAATGAAGGAAAATTAATTTGTATTCCTTTAATCTCAGTTACAATTAGATTTTCTGATTACAAAAGAGAGAAGAACGAATTTGATTCTCCTCTTTGTTTAATTCTGGGTTCTTCACGGTGGCGATGGAGTGCTTCCTTCGAATGCTCACGTCAAATTTGTTTTCCGTTGACGATCCACACGTCTTGATTCACTGGAATGGTATCTCCTCCTCACGATTTGACGTTGTGGAGATCTTACAAAGTAAGTTTTAGAACTCTTGATGAATTGATTGATCTTAACCGTAATTGGTTAGACAAGCCAATGATCTCTTCTTTACTGCCTAAGAGCCAGATCCGAACTAAGCTGATTTCTTAGTTATTTATAGGGGATTAAGGGGTGTAACCATCCTCCTTAATTCGCTCTTATGTGGGGCTAATGGGATGTAACCGCCCCTTAAATCACTCCTGAGTGGAGTTGTGATCCCCTCAGATCGTGGGAAACGGTTTTGAAACTGATCAGCTCGTGTTTGAACGAGTCAAACGCAAAATCCGCGTTCTGGCATGAATTATGCGTTCAAACGCAGTGTCTGGAAGCTCGTTTGCAGCGTCTGGAAGCTGCGTTTGGCAGCGAATGGAAGCTGCGTTGGCAGCGGATGGAAGCTGCGTTGGCAGCTTTCAGAGGCTGCGTTTGCGGCCGAACATGAGTTGCGTTGACGGCTGGATCTGAGCTGCGTTTGCAGCATGTGCGTCTTGATGCTGGTACGCGGGGAGGACTTCCGCGTCTTGATTTGAAGAGACCGTCGATTTGTAGTCTCTTTCTGTCAAAGCGTTACAAAGATCGTTATTTTGTAATCTTTGCTTTAGCTCTTTGATATGTGAGAGTCGTCAGATTGTAACTCCCGATGTTGATTGTGAAGGCTGTTGATTAGAGCTTTCATCAGTTGTTATGAAGGTCGTCAGATTGTAACCTTCATCGATCTATGTGAAAATCTTCAAATTGTAACCTTCAGAAAGTTGTCAGATTGTAACTTTTATCATCGGTGTTTGATGGGGAATCAGCTATCTATTGTGATTTTTAGACAGCCTACAGCGGTCGACCGTGACGGTTGACCGCAAACTAACACAAGGAATTTCAGGTTTTGAAAGCAGTTTTCTGATTTTGAAACCCTATTTAAAAATATCAAACAAATTCAAAAAAATGTAAAACTTTGGGAAATGATTATAGACATGATAATACACATGCTGCAAAAATTGGTTTTCAAAAAGCATCTCCCAAATGAGAAATCTCCTCATTTTATAAAATAGTCCAAAACATGTAAATGAAAAAATACTTGTTTTTGACATTGGACATAAACCATATTTTGAAACTCTATAAACTGATTTTATAGACTTAAAGAAAGATATAAACTATTGTTATAAAGTCTATAAATAATAAATACGATATTTTTACAAATACAATAGAATATGAAATATATGAGTATGTATATGAATATATATTTATTTCATATCTATGAAATTAAACCAAAACAACTTATCCACATAGAAAACGAACATGTATAAATAATTTTTGGAATTTGTTTGTAAAAACTTTGTTTGTGAATAAAACCAAAAACCAAGATGTGTATATATATAACTATATATATATACATAGAAACCAATGAAATGTGTGTGTATTTGATTGGGCTTAAAGTACTTAACACACATAATATAAACTCCTAAACTAGATTACCCAAGCTATAGGTCTTCAATAAGCTCGACTTGGTACACTTGCGGATGAAGCTTGAACTTGGATCTTCAACTTGAATTGCGTAGCTTCACTCCACTATTCCGCCAACCTCCATTGGATATGATCGTGAATGATTGATTCCATCCATCCTCCAACATGTTGTTTGTCTAAAATAAATAAATAAAAATACAAATATTAGACAAACAACATTAGTGATAAATTGTTTGTTAAACATCATCAAAACAAATAGGCCAACAAACTAAACGTAAGAAACATAAATCCAGTTAAAGTATTTTCATTTGTGGCTCCATTTCCACCCAACCAAACAGCCATTTGTCTCAATGGATTGCATCACAGTCTCCCTTGAGGTAAGAAATTTCTCAAGTGCTTATGACTTTAATAGCACAAAAAATAAAATAAAATAAAATAAACAATTAAAAAGAAGAGAAAGCAATAACTAAAACTCATAGGGACCAAACCGCAAAAACATTTTTTAAATCATAATAGTAGGGACCCAAATGGGTCATTCGACACGTTTAGCCGCAAAACCCGAAACCTAACACATAAATCCCCCCCCCCCCCCCCCCCCCCCCAAAGTCAGGTCCCGCGCCCACCCCCCAAACCCTAAACCGCCATCAAATAAACGTCGCCTCATCAGCGGCGGAGCCAGCAATCGAAAGCAGCAGCAGCCAGCGAAGGGAATGGTGTCCGGTTCCGGGCCTCTGCCACCCGGCGCGTAGGTGGCTGGACGCCCGCCAACCTAATGCTCGGGCGCCTGGCGATCGATCATCGCCGAACGAGCTCCCAAACGAGCCAGCGGCGTCGTCAGGTTACGTCCGGGTCGAGGAGTCGCCCTCTCCGGCGGCCTTGTCCGCCAGAAGATGAAGTACCTGAGGTTCTTGAGGAAGAGGATGAACACCAAGCCCTCCCATGGCCCCATCCACTTCAGGGCTCCCGCCAAGATCCTCTGGCGAACCATCCGAGGGTAATTCTCGTAAATTCACTGAAGTTTCATCATTGCTTAGGACTCGTTTTCGGGTGTGAGTGCTTGTTTAATTGATGCATCTTTTCTGCAGCTTGGCGTCACATTTAGTGAAGAAATAGTATAACGCTTCTAGTTTTCAGTAGGTTTGAGGTTAAATGTTGGGATAGTGAAGAGATTAATAGAGCAATGCGTTTAATTTCAATTGTTCTGAAGTTAATTATTGGGATAGTGGAGGAAGATTGGGATAGTGAAGAAATAGTTTAATGCTTTTAATTTTCAGTAGGTTTTGTTAAATGTTGGGATAGTGATGAAATTAATAGAGTAATGCTTTTCATTTCGATTGGTTTGGAGCTAATTATTGGGATAGTGGAGGAATATATTAATGCTTTACATTTTAATATGTTTTTGAGATAAATAGTGAAAGGAGAAATAAAGCGATTTGGGGGATTTCTTTTCAGTCTGGGGATTTAAAGGTTCAATTGTTATCATGTTATAGTCGCATGATGCGTTTTTTTATCATGTGATAATCGCGATAAACGTTTAAAAAAAATTCTGAATGGTGATATGATGGAAGATATTGAAGTTAAAAAGTGGTGAAAATTTGGGGTAATTTTAAATTGTAGGGTTGTTAAAAATTGGTGAAATTTCAGCGTATTAAAGTGCAACAAACCCTTTGTTTTAATTTAAATGTTTTTTCATTGATTGAAATAGGATGATTCCTCACAAGACGAAGAGGGGCGCAGCGGCGCTGGCAAGGTTGAAGACCTATGAGGGGGTGCCTCCGCCGTATGACAAGATCAAGAGGATGGTTATCCCAGATGCTCTCAAGTATAGAATATATGATATTTAAGCAATTTTGATTTGGTTTTGATTCTAGGGTTAGGGTTTAATTGGTTTACTTTCGATGAGAAATATGTAGGGTTTTGAGGCTGCAAGCGGGGCATAAGTACTGTCTGTTGGGTCAGCTCTCGAAGGAGGTTGGATGGAACCATTATGACACAATTAAGGTCAGATTCATCAGAATTTGCTTGTGTTTACTTAGATCCCTGCAAATCATGTGGATATGCACTCATATGAATTATAACTGTGTTTGCATTCCGTGACACCGACAAATTAAAATAGCATGACCTGTGTCCTGCAACTTTGTCACTTTTTAACAAGAGCATTAATGAATCCTTATATTTTGTGTGTTTCAGTCATTTGACACATCTTATCTCATACATATGCTTCCTAAATACTGTCGGTCATCCTTATTAACGCTTATCCTTTTGACTGCACTCATTGTTTCGATATGCTCTTACTTGCTTGCCTGAAACTTGAAATATTAAGTGTGCTTGATTGATGCGTATTCCAAATCGCATGCTATTCTGCAAGTACTTCCCATTCTAATCATCCTGCTTTGACTTTGTGAGCAATGAACAACATCTTCGTCAGTCTTTACCACTATTCTATAAAGCAGTCTAGGCGCCTGCTTAAATTCCCACTTTGATGGATGTAGTATGCATAACACCAAATTTAGGCTTTGGTACCACCACATAAGAGTTGAAGACACCTAAGAGGGCAGCATACTTAAGCAAGCCACACAACATAAAAACCAACTACGCGACCCACTAAAGCATAGTTGTAGTGGAGAAAAATGGACTAGTTCATAGTAGATCAAGTCAATACTTTATATCCAAATCCAAATTAGATAAAACAATGAGTTTGGGTTTTGATTACTTGAAAAAATAACTTTCCACTCTCGACGGCTCCCCTTAGCCTTTTAATGCTGTATTGCTGTTCCTGGTACAAACCACCATTGGACCTACTTTCTATCAGTATTGAGGCTGGTGAGAATGTAATTTACCTTTAATTCATTATTATTATTTGTTGATAATAATATTTGCCGATTTATTCCATTCTTGATTTTCTTCCTTTCTATTTCTCTCATTTCCTCCTCTTTCTCTTTCTTGCTCATATCCTCGTCTTCATCCTCTTCTTTCTTCTTCTTCTGCATATTCCATGAGGCAGAAGCAGCCCCCTTAAAAAAAGAAATGCCTAGAAACCACTTAGGTCTCTCTTGTCACGTGAAGGGGGGCCAAATCTGTCACTCAAAAGTGCCTGATGCTTTATAAACTTTGACCTTGACAAGATCCTTGATCTCAGAATCATGATCGAGTAGTATTCTATATCGTCAAAAATCCACTGTTTATCATAAAGTATACCCTTGTCTGTAAATTTTTTACATTATGAAAATTCCTTCCTCACCATGAACATGAAATAACCCTTGTTTAATTTCTCATTCTAATATTCCTTCATATGGCTATATCCTATATGTTATAAATAACATCATCTTCCCAAATTAGATGTGGGATGGCGCACATAATAAAGGTTCTTCCCTTTTCTTATTAAACTTTACCATATACACTGCTTGTTTTAGTGTCTGCCTTCAAGGGTTATATCTGTGAAATACTGTTTGGTAACAATATTTCATTTGTAAGATGTCTAAGCCTGTATAAGTTCTCAATGCTACTGCCTAACAGTGAAGAGGTCCTATAACTTCTCAATACAATCAATTTTACCCCATGATACCATGTAAGATGCCTAACAGTAAATGAGTTCTTATGTTTGTGTGCCATTGCATAATGGGTTCTGTAATAATTTCATGTTGACTCCATATGTTGCGACCTTCAGACTCTGTAGCAATTCACGTATACATGCCAATGGATCCCTTCCTGATTTTGTTGCATTGTTGTGAATTTGGGTGACCTTGCATTGGTTGTTGTTGGTTTGAAAAGCAAAAGCTTATAATGACATTAAAGCATTGATATGGTTCTCATTTGTAATATGGTTATTTCTTTTTAGATTTTGACTTCCATATATTTTTTGCAACAGGAGTTGGAGGAGAAGAGGAAGCAGAGGGCACAGGTTGCATACGAGAGGAGGAAGCAGTTGGCTAAATTGCGCCTCAAGGCAGAGAAGGTGGCTGATGAGAAACTTGGTCCTCAGCTCGACATTTTGGCACCATTGAAGTACTAGTTATATCCATAGCCAGTTCAGTTTTGAAGCACCACCTTTTTTAGATTAATTAATTGCGTTTCCATTTTGAAAGTTCTGTAGCTTTATTCTGGATACTTGGAGTGATTACTTGGAGTGATAACTTTGCTCAGCTTTGTTTTTAGATCTGTGGTTTCATGAACAAACTTAAGATGTTTGATTTTGAATGTTTTCCTTCTGAGCAAATGTTTTACTGGCTTACTGAGTTAGATGATATCTGGACATTCATTTGTTTGCATCATGAATCATTCATTCTTGAGATTATTTGAAACACTGGATTTTGCTTTTAGAACAAACTTGTTTTATGTTTAGTCTAACGCTGAAAATAATGAAAATGAGTTATATAACGTTTGGCCTCCCATTGAGGGTTAAGACAAAAAATGCAAAAAAAATGTAACACATAATATGTGTTAAATGTGTTGATGTCACTTATCAAACATGAGGTTTATATTAGAGTTATGAGAGTGTTTAGAATCCTCGAACTTCTTCAGATGACTGGATTCAGAATCCGGTGTTTTCTCTTGCACATAAAAAACTTATAAGAGGGTGGAGTTGGGTTCTCCGATTGTCCCTCTAATGATTAAGTCAGTATTTTGATCTTGAGTGGGAAAATCAAAGACAAATTTTATGGGTAGTAGTTCAAATTTGCCAAAAAGCAGAAGTTACCTCATGCAGCGTAGTTCCTTTTTATAGTAGATCAGAGGGGTATGAAGGTAACTTTGGTTGAGTCCAGTTAGGCTGCTGAGTCGACAGATACCTTCTAGGTATCGGCCAGAGAAGAAGGTGAGTCATCTGGTCATTGAATGAGGGAATGAGAGCAGGTGCTTGGAGCTAACTAAGTTCGATAAGTTATAAAGACTATAGGGGCTAGAGTAGTGATGACTTTGTCAGAGCAGTTAATGTGAGGACAGTCGGCTAGCGAGGGGCTCGAGGTAACTGTCGTCTCTCTATTTGTTTGGTCACGGGCCGAGAAGCACCTCCTTTTTAGTCGGGCTCGCAAGTTGTCGGCTGACACAATAGGTTGAGTACAAGTTGCTCATAGGGTCGATCGGGTGAGGTGGACGACAAGTACCGTCTTTTGACTTGACTACACAAGTTATCGACTAGCACAATAGGCTGAGTGCGGGTTGTTCGTAGGGTCGATCGGGTGAGGTGATCGACAAGTACCGCCTTTTGACTCGATTATGCAAGTTGTCGGCTGACACAGTAGGTCGTAGGAGCAGTTCATATTGTCCGCAATTTGTCTGATTAGGCGAGAGGTGAGACACATGTCGGCTTCTCTAGAGAGATTAGCACTTGGTAATTTTTTAGGCTATAACAGATAGCCCCCTTCTACTTGAACTCGACTAGCCGAATACGACTGGAAGATTAAATAGTTGTACGTTATCGACTCTCGAGGTGTATTAATGAGGATGACTGAAAAGCCTTTTCATATGTGATAGTGTTGTCATCAGGGTATAGTTCTTGTTTGCTGTTGATTCGTTTTTCGTGCATGATTGTGGGCAAATTAAGGTAAGAGGTGGTTTGATTCTGGAGTGGCCACTTTGAATTTCGGGATTGATCTCCATCGTTGGTTGGGCGAAGAGTCAACCGTTGGGATTCTGACAGTTTCCAAATTTTGTGCTTACATATATTGTTATTGCAACAAGAGGGATGTTATTGCTTTTGAAGATTTCTGAATCTTAATCGAGGAAAAATTTCGATCATTCATCTTCTCCAGCAATCTCTGAAACAGTTCTGATGGCGGCTTCTGCTGTTAGAGTTCGATAAGGCCAGTTGGAGAACTTTCACTCTAAGGTGACTATGTCACAGCTAAGGGCGCTGTACAAGAAGTTTGACATTCCTCAAGCTTTCACATGGACGGTGCCGGCGAAGTCACATGCGGTTTGACCACAATGCAAGTCAGGCTCCGGTGTACGTGAAGCATTTGGAATATGGTTTACGCCTGCATTGCATCCTTTCCTCCGTCATGTTTTTAAGGCCTTGGGGGTATCGGCAATGCAGATGAAGTCGAATTCGATTGCTATCTTGGTAGGGTTTGTTGTCATCTGTCACTAGTTGAGAGTCGAATCAACCCTAAACTTGCTTGGCAACCTTGTTAGTGTCAAGGCGCATCAGCGTGAGGCTCATTATCATCTTTAGGTGCTGGGGGATACAAGATAATCGCCGACCCTTCTGAGTCGAACAAGAACTAGAAGGAGAGGTTCGTATGGGTCTCGGGAGACAACTCCAACTTGGATTGCTCTAACTGGCCTGAGATCTTTAGGGAGGCTTTAAAGGCGGGGGCATTGTCTAGTGCCGAGAGACATGCGTTGGAGAAGATTAAGGCATACACGAGTTCTCGTAAGATGGAAGCCTTACTTGACAATCCGGTCTTGCGAGTAGTCCTTATCTCCTCTGTGCCTCATTCAGCCGAGGACGAGGCGAGGGCAGCAATGTTGATGTTGGGTTTGGAGGAAGCCGCCGAGGTGCAAATGGCTCTACTTGTTGAAACTCAGGAGGGGCCCCAGGAAGAGCCTTTGACGAGGCCAGTGAAACGCCTTTGTCAGGATCTGGTCCTTGGGGAGGCGATGGAGGTTCAAGCTCAAGCAGCCGATATAGTCACTGGGCAACAATGGACCTCCATACAAAATTAATAATATTTCTCTCACCAATTTTGGCCAAGGGCTCATCCTCGATCTACTTAGTGAAGTAGTCGATGGCCAAAATCCAAAATTCCACTACCCCAAATCTAATCCCCACTGAACAAATGGAATCAGACTCAAAATGGAGTTGAGCTTAGTGGCTGTAGCTCGCGGTATGCTCGAGAAGAATTGGCTTTTTCTGCACAAAGAAACGAGTCCAAGATAGTTTGCCAATAATACCCTTGATGAATGACTTTTTGTGTGAGAGTTCTAGCCCTAGGATGATTTTCACAAGTTCCTTCATGGATCTCTCTGAGAATATAGTTGGCCTCTGCTAGCCGAAGACACCAGAAATAGGGCCCCACACTACTACTGGAGTATGATATTCGATAAAGCTGATTATTGAGCATGAGATATCATTGAGCATTCTTTTGTAAACTATTGGCTTAAATGACATTCTCTGATGAGGTCTCCTATGTTAGACACTGGATGATTGGATTCATCCAACAGGGTTCTGTAGACGTCTCTGTCTGCAGGACTGGGTTCGATGTCTCCATGATGCTAGGATGCTTGAGGGTTTCTGTGTACACAGGCCCTAAATTGCCTCCTGAGCATGTCGGTCCAAGCTTGGATAGAGCGTCCACCTGCATTGAAGACACAGGGAACTTGGGTGATCTTAAAGTCAATGAAGTTTCTCCACAGTTCTTTGATCGCCTTCAGTTATAGGATCATCCTCGAGTTTAGTCAATCCAGCACCAAGGGAAGGAGCCGGCCGAAGAGGGGGCGCCCCCCTCTGAGGAACTGGGATGGTCATATTCTCATCACATCGATGAGATCGAGTCGGAGAAGTGGGACAGATAGATGATGCTATTTATGGGGTCCTTTAGAGTCGGTCCCCGACTTGACAAGGAGCCAACTCCAGGGCACAGGTACAGGCCCACTCATTATCTCAACGAGAGGGGTTGGTTCTTGAGTCTTGGATCGCCCAGTTGAAAGCGGTTGAGCAATTCTATCTCCCCTGTGACGAAAAATTTTTCGGGGAGGTTCCCGATGTCGGTCTTCACCGGAGCCTTAGGAGCTACATGGTTTGCGAGGCTCTAGTGGAGCAGGAGAGGTTCGGCCGGGTAGAATAAGTCTGAGCTTCTTATCTCAAGCTTTTGGAGGAGTTGGAGGCTGAAAAGGCCGATCTGAAAAAGGCTCTTTTGTCGCTATTGACTAAGGAGGACGAATTGGTCGTCTGGCGCCAAGAGATGGAGGTGCGGGAGAACATGATTGACGGCTTGAAGGTCTCGGATAGCCAAAAGTCGGCTGAGATCGACAAGCTCAAGCGCGAGCTTCATGAACAGAATAAGAGGATAAGATATTTATCCGAGAAGGTTGCACTTGGGTGGCGGGAGAGGGATCGAGCTTTGGAGCAAACTGAGTCGTACCATCACGCCACTCAACACTTGAAAGCCGAGCTGGAGGAGGAGAGGGCCGCCCTTAAGATGCTTCGAGAGGAAAGTGCTCAGGCCGCATTCGTGTCTGAGCCACAACGTGAGTCGTCCCTCACAGAGGTTCGAGCTTTGCAAGACCGCCTTACTCATCTGGATTCTGAAGCTCATAGGTTTGAAATCGTTGAGGATTATCGCTACAGCGCTCTTGGGAAAGTGGAGGTGGCGCTAGCTTGCAAGGCGGGATACGATTATCTTGAGGCACAACTTTCAACCGAGATGAGGAGGGATCCCAACCATTTCCACTACCCTTGAAGGGTTGCTAACTGCCTGGAGGCGCTCTTGGAGATAAAGGAACAAGGAGGGGGACTTGAGCTAGGTGGCGGAGGTGGAGCCAAGAAGGCTGATGAGGTCGATGAGGGCATTGCATTGCCAAAGAGGTCGGAGAGGAAGGTGAGGACTTGGTCAAGTAGACTGGCGAGGGTTCTGCTCAACACAATTGGGTGATCTCGCCAGAAAAGAAGAAAGGTGGAGGGGTTGAGTCTGAAGTTCAGTCGACTCAAGTGCCATCTACTGCCAATGCTTCTCCGCTCCCGTCTCCTGATCTTGGTGTCGATCCAAATCTGGTTCCTTAGTTATTGTATCTTCATTTCTGTCGTTTGTTGTTTCTTTTCTTCCTTTTTGTGTATTGTAATCACTTGGAGAACATGAATAAGAAACAATGTTTTTGCCAATCTGAGCTGTGTATCTTGCGTTCTTTATAGTGAATTATACTTTGAGTTTTTGAGTTTCTTACGCACATGACATTAGTGTTTTGCGTTGATACCAGCCAAAAGATCGAATGCCTTTGGGCTTGTTGAAAAATATCTCATATAAGTAGGTTTAGTTTGAACACCCTTGGGGGAGTAATAGGCTTCCTCCTTAGCTAATAAATGATGCCAAATCTTTGGATTGGATAGAATGGATCGAGTCAACTTGTTTTACTATAATGAGGGGCAAGCATCTTTGTTATCCATGTCGATCTTAACAAGGGCTGACTAACATCGCGTTCCTAGTCGGCCACGTGAGTTGTCAGTCCACAGGGTCGATCACGGGAGCAATGGCTATAGTCGTTCGTCTGTAAAGTTAAACACACGGTGACTTTAGTAGGTGGATTAATACTTTG